GTTAGCCCCAGCTTCTGCCAACGTAGCAGTTCGAAAACATGCAAGCCAGCCACATGATCTTGGAGGTGTCCACTGACAACTAGGGCTTAGAAATGAAGATGGGCACCAACCCCCAGAGTCCTAGACGATTGGACTTAATGTCAGGGGAAAACCTTTACCTTTACCTTTCCAGCTGTTAGGATTTCTGAGAGTTGAAGGTCAAAACATCTGGTGGAGAACCACCAGTTGCCCGCTGGTTTATGGGCACCTCCGAAGCCTCTCATAATGACATGCATTATTATACTATGATAATGCAGAGAGATATGGATTAAATCGCAAGGCATTGTTGGCTTTCATCCCTGGACTGCACAAGTTGTTTATGTCATCAAGTTTCTAGTCCTCAGGGAGTGGCTAGACTAGAGACAGGGCTAAACTCAGGGATTCCTTTCCCCACATTCCTATGCATGTTTTCCTATAGGGCTTTGCCTTTGTCTTCACTGCTAGCCATTGTCTCCTCCCCCTTTGATGATGTAGTAATTGAATTTATGTGAGGGAACTTTTTTACGTTTAACCTGCCCTGTGTAGACCATGCAGTCTCCACCATGTTAGTTCTGCTTTTCTTTCTCCCTGTGAGGGTGCACACAGTCAGTTTCTGCTGGTTATGGAGTTTACTCCTGGTACTCTGCTATATTTTAGGTGAATTGCCCCAACTGGGGGTTATTTTTGAACCTAGCAGCTCAGATTCCCCAACAGCCATCAGTCAAACAGGGCCTGAGCTTCTAAAAAAATTCACAGAAAGTGGATCTGGAATAGTTGCCTATTTTGTATGAGGCAAAAGGCTTCACCTTCTAATTTAGGGCAAGTTCCTAAAGCAAACCAAGTTAAGGAAATGTCTTTCAGCGACCAGGGATAATGATAATTCCATGGTGTCACCATTACAGTTTCAGCCGCCTTCAGACAAAGTTGGGATTTGAACACACCCCCACTTGGGGAGCATCTACAAGGTTGAATGAATGCAGTTTGACACCACTTTCACTGCCATGGCTCAATGCTACGGAATCCCAGGAGTTGTAGTTTTACGTGGTCTTTGCCTCACTGAACAACTCAGGGCCCTATAACCCAGACACACCGCCATATAACCCAGAATATCAAAGCAGATCACCCACAATATCTGCTTTGAACCGGATTATCAGGGTCCACACTGTCATATAATCCGGTTCAGTGTGGATGTAATACAACTATGTCGAAGGGGCCCCAGAGAAGTCCCTCTCCTCCTGTTTTCTCTCTCCCCACTTTCAGAGCAACCAGACAAGTTGCTTTCAAGGCTATATTTCAGGCAGAATATAAAACAACCTGAGAACTTTCCACCAGTCACCGTTTCCACGCCATCATAAATTCAGCAGCGCCGGCGCAGAGGGTGTGCGAAAAGAGGGGGGTTTGTTTTTCCCTGAGAGAAAAAGTGCGGGGCCAGGGAGCGCTGGGTCTCCCTTTGGAGCCCAGTCGAGTCTCATTTGCTCTTCTGCTCCAAACCCACGGAAAGTGGATCAGAAAGGAACGGATTGTGGGGTTTGGGGTGTAAGTCTGAAAAACGATTCCCGCCCTTTGAAGTAAAAGACTTCTGGAGGCAGAGGGAAAATATATATTTCAGTGTTGATTTGGGTCCTTTACTATGGCCTCTTTAAAACTTTTTAGGCAGGGTGAATTAAAAAGTATAGTCTAGTGCAGGATGGTGCATTCCACCCAGAAGCCTCGCTGCAGACTCACTTCCCTTTTCACAGAGGCTGGATCTACATTGCCATATAATCCAGATTATCAAAGCAGAGCATCCACATTATCTGCTTTGAATTGGATTATATATCTACTCTGCACTGCTATATAATCCAGTTCAAAACAGCTAATGTGTATTTTATATGGCAGTGTAGATCCAGCTAGAGAAATCCCCGTGTGCATCTGCAGCAGACATGGGCAAACTTGGGTCTTTCAGGTGTTTTGAACTTGAACTCCCACCATTCCTAACAGCCTCAGGCCCTTTCCTTTCCCCCCTCAGAAAATAAGAAGAAAAGGAAGGGGCCTAAGGCTGTTAGGAATTATGGAAGCTGAAGTCCAAAACACCTGGAGGGCCCAAGTTTGCCCATACCTGATGTACACTGTATAATCAATGCAATTTGACATCACTTTCACTGCCATGGAATCCTGGGAGTTGCAGTTTCACAAAGTCTTTAGCCGTCTCTGCCAATGCGTGGTGGCTCCTCATCAAACTACAACTCCCAGGATTCTGTAGCATTTGGCCATGTCAGTTGTGTCAAACTGTATGTATGCATTCTACAGTGTAGAAGATGCATCCATTGTCAAAAGTCCAACTTCCCTGGCACCTGTGGGCACAATCTAATATCACTAGCAACTGTGTTTGGGGTCATAATCTTGATATGGTCCACTTTTTTATTCCAAGGTCTCATAGGCCGACCCTATGCTATCCATGTAGCTTCAACCACAGGTAAGTTGTGTTGTTGCTGTCCTTCAAGTCAACTCCTATAGCCACCCTTGTTGTTTCCTTGGCCCAGTTGATTTGGAACAAGTTTGCCATTGCCTTTCTTAAGAATGCGAGAGATGTAACTTTCCAAGTGGCTTTCCAAGTGTTGGGATTAGGTGAGTTGTTAATTGTAGCCTTGTCTGCTTTTGTAGTGGGGCATTTAATGTTTGCCTCTATGTGTTTTTAGTGTGTTGTAATCCGCCCTGAGTCCTCTTGGGGAGAAAGGGCAGAATATAAATAATGATGATGATGGTGGTGATGATGATGATGATTATTATTATTATTCCCATGGCTGAGAAGGAATTGAACGCTATTCTGTAGGGCTCTCAAAAGTCAGAGGGGGCATCTAGAATGAATATAGCTTGACTTCCATGGCTCAATGCCATGGCATCTTAAGAGTTGCCTTTGACATGGCGTTTAGACCTCTGTCTCTGCCAAAGAGGGCTGGTGCCTCACCAAACTACAAATCCTAGGATTCCATACCATCCAACACTGGCAGCTCAAGTGGTACCCAACTGCATTCATTTTGCGTGTGGCTACTTCTCAAAAGGATGTCTTTGCCTTTAAGGTGGCACCTTAAAGGCGTCCATTATTAGGGCATTAAGCCGAAGTAAACTGTTGGGAAACTAACAATCTTGCATGCACATTGAAATTGTTCTGTTGCCTCTGCTCATCAGCTGTGTTTTACTCTGCCAACGTTAGGCTAAAAAGGAAGGGTAATTTTTTCCAAACTGCCCAGCCCTTCCACATAATACTAGCTGTACCCGCCAGGCTCAACCTTCCCTCCCTCTTTCTCTCCTTCCTTCGCTCCCTCTTTCCTTTCTTCCTTCCCCTTTATTTCTTCTTTCCTTTTCTTCTTCCTCCCATCCTTTTTTACCTCTTTACTTCCTCTCCCCTTATTTTCCCTCCCTCTTTCTCTCCTTTCTTCCTTCTCTGCCTCTTTCCTTCCTTCGCTTTTTGCTTCCACCCTTCCTTCTCTCTTTCCTACCCTCCCTCTTTCTCTCCTTTCTTCCTTCTCTGCCTCTTTCCTTCCTTCGCTTTTTGCTACCACCCTTCCTTCTCTCTTTCCTTCTTTCCTTCCCTCCCTCTTTCTCTCCTTTCTTACTTCTCTATCTCTTTTGTTCCTTCCTTCGCTTTTTGCTTCCATCCAAGAAAGAAAGGGGGGGGGGGGAGGAAGAAGGAAAGGGAGACCCCTTTCTTCTTTCTCTCCCCCCCCCCTTTCTTTCTTTCTTTCTTTCTTTCTTTCTTTCTTTCTTTCTTTCTTTCCTCCCTTCCTTCCCTCCCTCTTTCTTTCTTTCTTTCCCCCCTTCCTTCCCTCTTTCTATCTTCCCTTTTTTGTATAGTCATTTAGTTTTCCGGCATTTAGCTTTTTGGGGTTTTTAAGTCATTTGCGCTGTTTTTTGGGAGGGGGGAGTATGAGTGATGGTAACTCGTTGGTCTGTTAGGGGTGTGGTGTCCAAATTTAGTGTCAATTCGTCCAGTAGTTTTCTCACAAACGAACATTTTATTTATATAGAAGATAAACAGGAACATGCTCCCGAAGAAGTCCCAACAGGAGAGCCTTCCATAGAAAACTCTTATGTAGTAGGATCTGGAAAGTGACAAACCTGTCCTAGGAATGAGTAGAGCTAGAAAGGCCTGCCCCCCCCCCCCACCCCATTTGGATGATGTCAGTGGGAATAGACCTTGGACTGCTCCATAAATAATAATACGATGGGGGGGGGGGGAGAGAGAGAGAGAGAGAGAGGCGAAAGCAGCCTCCTGGTTGGCTAAGACTCCCCTGGGCGAGGAGAGCCAACGTTCCAAGAGGGTGGATTCTTCTTGAAAGGCAAAGCAGCAGCCGGAGCGGGAGGAGGCACCAGGGGGCGGCCGGGCGGGGGGAAAAGAGGGAGGAAGGGCGCGCCTTAAAGGGGGGTGAGTTGAGAGAGGGCGCGCTGTCTCTTTAAGAAGGGCGCCGCCGAGACAGGCAGCCTCCGGCAGGGGAGTTTATCGGGAGCGCGCGCGCGAGGAGGGCTGGCTGGACGGACGTGTGAGGAGGAGGAGGAGAAGGAGGAGGAAGGCTTTGAACCCTCGGCGGGGAGGAGCCTCGCCTCCACTTCCAGGCGCCCCTTCCAGAGCAGGTCACTCCGAGATCCTCGCTCCAAACCAGCCGCCTCACCCCCTTTTTCCTACCCATTCCTCTCTCTCTCTCTCCCTTGAGCTGCTGCCTCGACTTTAGTATACTTTTGCAAAGTACGAAGGGGGAAAAACTTGCTTTCCCCGTACATGCAGCCGCGGAGCCCTTGGCGGTGCCCCCTCTCGCGCCCCCTTATTCCGAGTGGATTGGGATCTCTAAGCAATAAGACACCATAGAGAGAGAGAAAGAGAGAGAGAGAGGCGTATATTGAAACCAAGCAGGCTTCTCGATGGAATAATCACCTTCGCCCTGTGTGTGTGTGTGCATATCTGTATATAGATATTCTTTTTCAAAAAAGACTCTGCTCGTCCCCAGAAGCCAACGACGGCTGAGCGCCTCTCTCCTCCTCCTCCTCCTCCTCCTCCTGCCTCTGCTCCTTCTTCTCCTCGCCATGGATTCCTTCAAAGCGGGGATGAGCTTGGAGAGGCTTCCGGACGGGTTGAGACCTCCGCAGACTACTTCCCACGACATGGCTTCCAGCTTCCATTTGCAGCGCGCTTCCGAAGGCAGGGAGACGCTGGAGAATTCGGCTAGCGAGTCCTCGGACACCGAAGTCCCAGGTAAGGAGGGGAAACACCCCGGCATTCCCCCGTGTTGTTCTGGTGGTGGTGGTGGTTGTTGTTGTTGTTGACGCAAGGAAGGCAAGGGGAAGGGAGGGAGGGATTTCCTCCCAGGGAAAGATCCACCAGATAAGGTTGTACTCGAAAATATAATGAGATCAGATTAAGGTGGAAGAATGCCACTGAATTCATTACCTTCTGAATGGGCGAGAAATTAGAGCTGGAGCTGGATTGTCATATATACGTATATATTAGGAAGTTTCGGAATGCAGCTTAACTGCATTGAATTGCATTATTAGATGAGTCTACACTGCCATATAATCCAGCTCAACGCAGTCAATAAGCATTCTGGAACTGCATTCTATGGCGGTGTAAATAAACCCAACCTTAAATTGCAATCGTATCCTGACTTTGGTGGGAATAAACCACACTGGAAATTATAGGACTCACTTCTGAATGGTGCCAAAACTCATTCTTCCATTCGTTATATACCCAATACTCCCAGGGCCCTTCCACACAGCTATATAACCTAGACTATCAAGGCGGAAAATCCTACAACATCTTATTTGAACAAGATTTTCTGAGTCCACACTGCCATATATTCCGGTTCAAAGCAGGTAATATGGGATTGTATTTCGCTGTGTGGAAGGGGCTAGAGGTCCCTTCAACACTACCATATAAAATATAGATTATCTGATTTGAACTGGATTATATTACAGTGTGGACTCATATAAAGCAAATAATGTGGGATTTTATTCAGTTGTGTGGAAGAGACATGAGGTCCCTTCAACACTACCATATAAAATATAGATTATCTGCATTGAACTGGATTATATTGCAGTGTGGACTCATATAAAGCAGATAATGTGGGATTTTATTCAGGTGTGTGGAAGGGACCTCAGTGTCAAGCTGAGTGTTGTCTATACAGAGACACAAACACACAAAACCTGCATCTATATCTATATCTCTATCTATTCAGGCCGAGGTTTTCAAAGGCTGCAGTGCAGACACATATCAAACAGTTCATTGTAGTACACGCCGCATTATATTGGACTACATTGACCATATAATGCCCTTCAAAGTGCACTATTTGGCAGTGTAGATCCAGCCTGAGCAGCATAAGTGTGAAAAGGTCTGTTTAAAAAAATGCAACAGGAATGGTGGGTTGGGAGATGGGGAAAAAGCCGAGGCAGGAGCTGAATTTCCAGGCCTTTCTATGCTGTCCCATAAAGCACAGAAACTGACTCTGTAGGAAATGTTTCCACAAAAATAAAGAGAACAAAAGGATCCGAGGTGTGCTGATTCTAAAAATGCAGGGAAGGGTTTTGTTGACCATAAGATCGAGTCCAAAGTCCGTGTTGTGGCCAGACCCTTCCGAGGCACAAAAATGTGAATGCGAGATGTGTATCAATCCGACGCGGATTCGCTCAGCCATAAATCCCCACCGAGCTCAATGGAGTTTACTCGCAGGAAGAAGCGCGTAGTGGAGTTGCAGGCGGAAACTTCCATGCCTTAAAACGGCCATTTCTTGGAGGCCTTGGGGACTTTTTGAGGCGGCAATCCCTGCTGCCTGCCCGCCTGGATCGAAGCCGGAGAGATCCTCCTTTCAGGGAGAAATTGCCTTCCTTTTGAGACTGGAAACACAGAGGCCGAGGCCGGCGCTCAGCAGCAGCCCTTGGGTGGAAAGATCCTTCTGCTCACTCCCAGCAGGAAGGCCAGGGGGAAATGGACCGCCTGAGATTAAAGTCATTGCTTTGCTTCCTCCCAAACCGGTGCTGTCCTCTTGGGTTCACTTAGGAAGACACAGCCCTGGACATCCTAGAGCCAGATGGCATCTGAACACGGCTTCTCGTCCCAACGAGTTAGGCAGGAAAGTGGCCATAAGGCTGTGCTTTCCTCCGGGTTTGAGTCTAGGCCCATCCTGGGTTCTTTTAACATCATCCTACTACCTCATCACACTAAATCCAGTTTCTGCCTCCTGCAGAATTCTGGGGCTTGTAGTTTATTGAGGCTGTTAAAGGCTCCTCCATAAATTACAAACCCCAGAGTTCTGCAGGAGGCAGAAACCGGATATAAAGTGGATTTATTCTCTGGTGTGATGAGGTCCCGATTAGTAGCCTCTTACTTGGGAGCGAGCCTCGTTGTAATCGACAGGACTCGCATTTGAGGCGACAGCTTTGAAGCGCTTCTCTCTGCCTTCAAAAATCGCAAACATGTCTTAAATGGGTGTCCACAAGAGTGAGAAAACGAAGTGAGTGCGAGTCTGGATCCACACTGCCATAAAATTTATATGATCCAAGTAAATAATCCAGATTATTTGCTTTGAATTTGATTATAGGAATCTATACTGCCATTGAATCTAGTGCAAAGCAGATAATCCGGGTTGTATATGGCAGTGTAGATGGAGAAAATATCTCGCTCTAAAACCAAGCGCGAGTAGAATAAATTTAGACAGAGAGGGGGTGTATAAAGAGTAATCCATCCATATCACTGGGTTGCTGTGATTTTTCCGGGCTGTCTGGCCATGTTCCAGAAGCATTCTCTCCTGACGTTTCACCCACATCTGTGGCAGACATCCTCAGAGGTTGTGAGGCTGTCTGCCATAGAAATAAAGTTTAAATTAATCAGGAGAGAATGCTTCGAAGTATTCTCTCCTGACGTTTGACCCACTTGCTTAGTTTTCAACAGACCTCACCCCTGAGGATGCCTGCCATTGATGTGGGCAAAATGTCAGGAGAGAATGCTTCTGGAACACGCCACAGCCCGGAAAACTCACAGCACCAGTGATTCCGGCCATGAAGGCCTTCGACAACACATCCATATCATACCACGAGCCAAGGGGCTGGTTAATATCTGCCGAGTGTTGTGTCGAAAGCAGATCTGCAGCATTAGCTCAGCAGAGGGAAAGTTGAGCTCGGTAATAGTCTCTCTCTCTACATGACACAAACCTGGCTCGGGCAGAGGCCTGAGCGCCTCGAAATCCCTTTTCTGGACTCGGAGGGAAGGAGGGGGCTCTTGGGGACCCTTCCACACAGATACATGCACACATCTGCGCGGATTTCGGCCCCAGCGGTCAATCCAAGCGCCTGAAAGCTCCCTGGACGTGACTGGGCCTGGGCTGCACGGCGAAGGAGGAGGCCCTGTATGTGGGGGAAAGGGGGTCGCAGCGCCCTCCCGACCGCGGCCTGTCTCCCGCGCCAGCCACAGAGTCCCTTTCTCTCCGTGGGAGTGGGAAATGGGCAAAGCCGAAGGGGAGGGGGTCCTGCTTGGAAACGGCACCAGTCCAAAGGCCCTGATGGAGGAGGCAGGCCTTGAAGCCGTGAAGGAAAGGGAGAAAAACAGGCGAAGCAAAGAGCTCGGTCCTCTCCTCTGGAGGAAGGGAAGTGGCAGGAAAGAGGCCACCGGGTGTGTGTAGATATATGTAATATGTAAAGAGTATATTTCTCTGCGTATATAGGAAGAAGCACATGAAAAAAGTGTATTTAAATTTGTATATATGTGTGTGTGCGTGTGTGTTTATCAGGCATGTGCGAACTTGGGCCCTTTTCCCAGGTGTTTTGGACTTCAACTTCCACCAGGCCTTCTCCTTTTCCTCCTCATCCTCTTAAACTGGATGCTATGGAATCCTAGGATTTGTAGTTTGGTGAGGCACTAACCACTGGCAGAGAAGTCTGAAGACCACGTTAAAGGCAACTCCTATGATTTCACAGCATTGAGCACTGGGTACTTCATCACACAAGAGAAAAGGAAGGGGCCCGAGGCTGTTAGGAGTGGTGGGAGTTGAAGTCCAAAACACCTGGAGTGCCCAAGTTGGCCCAGGCCTGGTGTATATAATGTGTGTTTGTGTGTGTGTGTATACAAACATAACGCACACTTTCTATACACATGTGCCTCTTCCTATACACACAGAGACATATTTTACATGTTATGTATACACAAATATATATACAAATATAAGCATGCATACAGGCTTCTGTGTACATATGCGGACAGAAATATACAAACTACACCAAACTGGCTGTAGATGTGTATTTCATCCACCGCTTTATATGAATTTGTAGAGGCGGAGGGTGAGAAACTGGGGCTCGGAAGGGGGCTTGTGGGTAAATGGCCTCTCAAAGCACCAGAAGAAGGCCGTGGCGAGGTCCTCCTGAACCTGCCTTGTCCAAAAGAGCCCCATAATCGCGTCACCGTAGATCACAATGAGCACGAAGGCGCAGAACATTTATACTTGACATATAATGTTAAACACAGACATAAACACCAAGGCAAAAGTAACTTATAGCTGTCTCTTTACTCATGTGTGTGGATGTAGTATGTGTATGTATATACAGACATATGTATATGTGTATAGCAAATTCCCAGATCAGTTTAGTGTTTACACCTTATTTTATTTTTTCCGATTATTTAATATTTAACGTTTATTTAACTGAAGTGATATTTGTCTCTACTGTTCCCATGTAGCACAAATCCTATGTAAAATCATACTACGTGTTTTTGACATTAATATTGAAATCTGAAATAGAGAAAGTCTTTCTAATCAAGGTACATTCGGAATCTTTTTCCCCGGTCTCTGTGAGGAGGAGGAGGAGGAGGAGGAGGAGGAGGAGGAGGAGGAGGAGGCAGGAGAGCCTGGGCGTGTGGCGGGAGAGGGACTGGCAGGGCTGGAAATGTCATCTGGCCACCTCGGCCAGAGAAACAACAACCCCTTCTTCTTCTCCTTCTTCTTCTTCTTCTTCTTCTTCTTCTTCTTCTTCTTCTTCTTCTTCTTTTCTCCATTTTTCCTCCTCCTTTCCCTTCTTCTCCTCCTCCTCCTTTGGTCTTCCTTTTAACGAGGCTGGCGCGTTCAGGCCTTGTTTGCTTTGCCAACCGCGGCCTGGAAAGCGGCAGCCTGGCCCTGGACCGCTTTGGGGTTTCCATTTTACCGCTTGGACTCGACGGGTTGGCTGTCGGAACCCCCAGAAAAGCCAAGGAGGATGTGAAGGGAAAAGGAAATATTGTTGCCTGGGAAAGAGAAGGAAGAGCGCTTATGCAGCGTGAAAGGAGGAAGAGGATTTCAAGTCCTTTCTGGACTCTGAAACTGGTTCTACACTACCAAATAATGCAGTCCGAACTGTATATTTGGACTGGTCAAAGGAAATTTAGCATAATGCCAAGTTCTTAACTTTGTGGTTTTATTACGCATTTTACCTGTATTCTCAATTTGCTTCTGATGCGATAAATAAACTGTACATTATTATTATTATTATGTTTATTTAACATAATATCTTTCTTACTATCAGTATAGAGCCATGTAACTGCATTAAACCTGCATTAACCACACAATCCAGTACAAACGACATTGTATTGTTAAAGGCTTTCATGGCCGGAATCACTGGGTTGTTGTAGGTTTCTCGGGTTATATGGCTATGTTCCTGAATCATTCTCTCCTGACGTTTCGCCTGCATCTCACAACCTCTGAGGATGCCTGCCATAGATGCAGGCGAAACGTCGGGTGAGAATGCTTCTAGAACATGGCCATACAGCCCGGAAAACCTACAACTCACAAACGACATTATTTGGCAGTGTCGAACCAGTCTCAATGTTTTGTTTCTTTTTCCGGGGAAGCCGGCTCCAGATACAAAGCTAAGGGGATCCTGCACCTTTAAATCCGATACTATTTCGTGTTTATATATTTTTCACGTCCATAGAAACGACAAAGAGGCGCAGGCTTCTCTCCCTTTGGACGTTGTTCCTGATCCAGGGAAATGCAGGACTTTCTCCTCGAATTTCGGTAGCAAAGTCAATCGGTGGTCTTTGAATTTTCACCCGTGGAATGAATAGCCTGGGGGAAAAAGAGCTCCCTTTTTGGAGGGATCGTGGCCCTGCGATTTGGGGCTTTTTGAGACCGGTAAATATGGCTTTTGTTCAGAGGCCCCTTTAAACGCGGGTTCAACGCCTGGCTTTCAGAAATGCGAAGGCGACAATCCGAAGCAAATGCCCTAGAAAGGTAATAGTAATAGTGTTAAGTCAGGGGATGGAAAGAAAATCCGAGATCCCTGCCGCAGAGGACTCCCTCCGTGGCCGAGAATTGCCAGCCTCTCTGCCATTCCTCTCCTGGAAGGGCATTTGTTTTGATTTTTATTTCACCGCGATGAGAAAGAAAAGGGGCGGGTGCCATCCCGTTGGAACGGAGAGAAAGGACACGAAAGGAGACCGCGGTGGTTCTTTCCTTCTCGGGGCAAACCGGAGCGAGGAAGACACCGAAAAACGGCTCGGGCTCCATCCCGATCCATGCCTTCCTGTTTGGAAACCTTTCACTGTTTGGAAACGAGGCTCTCCTGCTTCACTCGCCCAGGTCCCAAGTGAAGCATCGGGTGCAATTGACAGGGAGTCGGTTGGGTTTACTTGGGAGTAAGCGGACAAGGGTCGCTCTCAGGTCTGGAAGCCTTCCCGGCTCCAAGAATGGGCTTTGCATCTATATTGTAGCATGAACAGTGTCTGATCCACTTCAATTGCCCTGACTCAGTGTGACCGAATCCTGGGGTTTGGTGAGGCGCCAACTCTCTTCGGCAGAGAGTTGTAAAACTACGAATCCCAGCATCCCAGAGCACTGGGCCAGGGCAGCCCAAGGGGTGTTGAACTGCATTCCTTCCACAATATCCATTTACCCTTCCATGTCAACATCCGCCCTTTGCAGGGCTAGTTGGGATATTTGCCCCATATCAAATTCGGCGTTGGAGCAAATGTTAGGCTGGATCTACATTGTCATATAACACATCTTGAACTGGATTATTCCGCAGAGTAGATCCAGCCTTACTTCAACCTAAATGTGTTTCGAGGAGCCAAAACGGCATTGGTCCTCGGTGGCATCATTTGTGACTTTTCCACGACTACGAAAATGTGCCCTTCCCGTTCAAGAGGTAGGCGGGTGTCCTTAACTAGGCAGACAAAGGTGTGCACTGGGCCCAATGTAATCCCTTGCGGCCGATTAAGAACAAAACAAAACTCGGAAATATGTCTCGAAACATCCCAGCCCACAAAAGCACTGGTCCTGCTGGAAGGATGGGAGTTGTAGTCAAAGTCAAAACAAAACAAAACAAAACATGGCCAATATCTGTTCAAAGCTCCATTGCTGTCAGCGTGAAGCCAATGTCTCGCCTTTCTCTCTTCGTGGATAACAATCCTGTGTTTGTCTACTCCAGAGTAAACCCCAGGGAGTCCCTTCTAGACAAGCCCTATCTACCCCAGGATCTGATCCCAGATTTTCTGCTTTAAACCAGTTTATATGAGTCCACACTGTCAGAGACTGTGGGATAAACAGAAAAATTGGGATCAGATCCTGGGATAAAGGGCCTGTCTGGAAGGGCCCAGGGATGGCTGTATCATGTCCTTCAAACTGCAATGTATGGCCAGGGATATCCAGCCAAAGTATTACTAGGTAAACCGGTGTGGGATTGTAAATAGAGGCTTGTGGGTGAAAGCCCCAGGCCTTTGCGGGGGGAAAAATGGGTTCCAATTGCAGCATTTTCAAATAAATGTAAGGCTTTGCTGGGAATTTTTGTGCACCAGAATATACATCTTCACCTTCCGTTTCTCGAATGGAAAACAATTCAAGCGATGTATGTCTCCTGACTCTAGCATTAAAGGGCTGTTGTTGCCTTGTTCGTCTGTAATAACGAATTAAAAGGAAACCCTGGTTCTTGCGCAGATGAAAAACCCACAGAGCGCTACACTCCCCAAATCCCAAAGTAATCACACATCATTCTTTTTAATTCCCTCTTTATGAAAAAGCCTCCTTCTCCGGATATTTCGCAGCCCTCCCAGCGGGAGGTCGATTTTCTTTTGATATTTGTTATTTTACCCTCCACGCCACGGATAGCCAAATGTCCAAAGGCAACAACACAAACCTTGAGCCTGGTTGAGAAACACCCGCGACGCGGAGTGGGTTTGTTAACGTTTTGCGCCTGTTCCTCAGGGTTTATGTGTGTGTGTTTTAATAAATGGTGCTTATATATATATATTAATATATATGTTTTAATAAATGGTGCTTATATATATATATATATATCACAGTGTAGATGCTATTGGTATTTTAATAAATAGTGCTATTATATTATATTATATTATATTATATTATATTATATTATATTATATTATATTATATTATATTATATTATATTATATTATATTATATTATAAGCACAATTTATGAAAATACCAATTGCATCTCCACTGTGTAATTCCTCTGCGTGGAATAAAATTGTGTTCAATAACTTAAATCGGGTGTTAAATTTGGTTTGCCCTTGCTAAAAAAGGCCTTGTAAAGAAAGTTTTGTGCCTGCTGCATAAAAACCTAAAGAATCTATTGTTGAATACTTTTATGACCTGAATCACTGGGTTGTTGTGAGTTTTCCGGGCTTTATGGCCACGTTCAAGAAGCATTCTCTCCTGACATTTCGCCTGCATCTATGGTAGGAATCCCAATTTTCCTTGTTTCCAACAGACCTCACAACCTCTGAGGATGCCTGCCATAGATGCAGGCGAAACGTCAGGAGAGAATACTTCTTGAACATGGCCATACAGCTCACAACAACCTACAGAATCTAAATAACAGCTGCAGCACCGATGGGGTGTAACTTTCGGGCCCTTCTGCATGGAAGAAAACCTGGGTAGAGAAGGCCCAAAAGGAAGAAGCAACAGTGGAGTCGGGGGGGGGGGGGGGTGTTCTGTTTTGGTGTTGTTGTTGCTGTTGTTGTGATGATGATGATGATGATGATGATGATGATGATGATGATGATGATGATAATGATGATGCTTAACGTGTGGGCTCCCCGCCTGCTTGCCCCTTCCTTCTTTCTCCAGACAAGGACCGGGTGGGGGTGCCCAAGGGCGGCGAGGACGGGGCGGCGGACGACCCGGCCAAGAAGAAGAAGCAGCGCCGGCAAAGGACGCACTTCACCAGCCAGCAGCTCCAGGAGCTCGAGGCCACCTTCCAGAGGAACCGCTACCCGGACATGAGCATGCGCGAGGAGATCGCCGTCTGGACCAACCTCACCGAGCCCCGCGTCCGGGTGAGCCACGCACCCCCTTCCCCCCTCACCCCCTTCCAGAGACCACGGCTCAGAGGGTGGTGTGGTCTGCCACCCCTTGGACTGCCATGGCACAAGGCTCCAGACCCTGGCAAAGAAGGCGAAAGATCCCGAGCTGGATCTCTCAGGGCCCTTCCACACAGCCCTATATCCCAGAATATCATGGCGGAAAATCCCACATTATCTGAATCCACACTCAGATAACCCAGTTCAAAGCAGATATTGTGGGATTTTCTGCCTTGATATTCTGGGATATAGGGCTGTGTGGAAGGGCCCAAAGTATTCAGCTTCAGTTTGAAACTGATTATTTGAGTGACTGGAGGAAAATTTAAGGGAGGGGGGGGAGCACATTTCTTGTTTGGAGGCAAGAAACGCCTCCTGTACCTGTTGGGCCACACGCCCTTCCACGTAGTTGTATAAAATCCATGGCAGCGTGGACTCAGATAACCCAATTCAAAGTAGATATTGTGGGTGATCTGCCTTGATATTTTGGGTTATATGGCCGCGTGGAAGGGTCCTCAGAAGCTATCTATTGGGACCTCATCGCACTACAGCATCTATCCGCTTTAAATCTTGCGGTTTCCTCCTTACTGCAGAATCCTGGGGTTTGAAGTTTAGTGAGGCCCAGGACCTCTCTGCTGAGCAATTAGTTGAAAGGCCCCTCCCTAAACTACAAACCAGAGGAAGCCCCCTCCCCCTCCTGATGGGAGACTCCTGGGGCAGGGAAAGCAAGGTGGAGGGCCCAGGAGAGAGGGCAGGGCTCAAGGGCAGTCCCGACCAGAATCCAGTGCTGCTGCTGTTGTTGTTATTGTTGTTGTTGTGTGTCTTAAAATCGCCTTGAACTCAAGGCGACCCTGTGGTTTTCCTGGCAAGATTTGTTCAGAGAGGGTTTCCTTTGGCCTTCATCTGAGACTGAGAGATAATAATAATACTAATACTAATAATAATAATAATACATCACACAGTCTTAGAAGCTTGGGAAGTGTTCGACTTGTGATTTTGTGATACGAAATCCAGCATATAGATCTCGTTTGCTGTGACATACTGTGCTTTTGTGTCAGAATAATAATAATAATAATAATAATAATAATAATAATAATAATAATAATAAATTTTCTATTCCACCCTATCTCCCTGAAGGGACTCAGGGCAGATTTCAAACATCAAAGGCCAAACACAACAGTACACTCATAATAACTCTTGAGAGAGTGTAACTTGCCCATTCCAGTCTTCCCAGTAAAGTTCTTAGGAGAAATTAGGGATGCCAAATACATACATACACTCTTATATATCTCATATATCAATACAATAAAGGGAATATATTGATAATTAAAAGGGAAAGTTGTTTGGGGAAGCTAGCGATGCCCTTTATATGTTTATATAATAATTATATATACACAAAAACACACACACACACAGAGAGAGAAATTTTAAATACAAGGAATTTGAAAGTTCCAATGTGGACAATTTCAACAGAAAGGAGGAAAACAAAATCTGGCGACCAGTATTTTAAAAACTGTAAAATTAGGATAGTAAATAAAGAACAACATTCTGAAAACAGGAGAACCCCAGTCAGGAAACAATCAGGGCCAGTTAACATATCCCAACAAAGGATTCCCCCAGGCAAGAATCAGCCAGGCCTTGAAGTTGCAAGGTTTTGCAATGCTAATCAAGGTGATTAATTGCAACATTCACAGTTGCCTCCAACAGACAAGAGTTCTTTCTTCCACCCTGGACATTCCACAGATATATAAACCTCCCTTGCTTAGTTTCCAGTATACTTCACAACTTCTGAGGATGCCTGCCATAGCTGTGGGTGAAACGTCAGGAGAGAATGCTTCTGAAACATAGCCATACAGCCCGGAAAACTCACAGCAACCCAATTGGAAAGTTGTTTGGAGAAGTAGGGATGCATCTGCGCGCCTGGAGCCAAGTAGTATAGGGATAGACAAATATAAAATTCCAGTTGGCCCTAGATATGGTGAAGCCCTTGCTTCTCCAGAGAACTTTTCTCATAGATAGATAGATGATAGATAGATAGATAGATAGATAGATAGATAGATAGATAGATAGATAGATAGATCTCCATTTCCCCCTTCCTATTATTATTATTATTATTATTATTATTATTATTATTATTATTATTATTATTATTTTACTGACACAAAAACACAGTATGTCACAGCAAAGGAGATCTATATGCTGGATTTCGTATAAAAAAAACCACAAGTCGAACACTTCCCAAGCGTCTAGGACTGGTTGTTGTTGTTGTTGTTGTTGTTGTTGTTGTTGTTATTATTATTTACGGATGGTGTCTCCAGTCATTCCCCCTTCCTTGTGGCTTGGGAAACACAGGACTTGGCCAGGATAGACGTCTTCCAGGATTTATTGTTCTTCCCTGGATTAATTAACGCAGCCATTTAATACCAAGCAGGAAATCTCCTTGTTTCCGGGCAGAGAGGAAACAGAGAGAGAAGGGGGGAGGTGCCGGCATCCGGGTAACGGGGCTTCCAAAATACATTTGCCCCCTCCTTTCCTCGTGGGCACCGGGCAAAGGGGTCGGGGGGGGGCAGAAATGAATGCTAGAAAATGGGGGTTTCTGTGCTTTTCTCCAAGAGAGAGAGTTGGCCCATCCAGGTTCAATGAAATGCTGGGTCTGACCTCGAAGTGGGTCTGACCTCTCCGATTGCTAGTCCCAGCCAGAGCAGATCCATTGAATCCATGGCAGTTACAAAAGGGTTGGCCCCAGGAATTGATTCAGCAGACATGGTTCAATTTGATGTAGGACTCTTGTGTTCCAGGGCTGTGAGGAAGGGGCAGGAATCACCAGAGGAAGTCAAAATGTCGTCTGAAAGAAATCCCAAAATATACTCTATATGCCCTCGTTCCCACCGGAGAGAGTTAGAAGGCGTTGCGGGTGTTTGATTCAAACTGACTGGGAGCTTCTGGGAAGTGTGAACTTGAAAAGTAACATTTTAATTCTTGTGTGTGTATACTCACACACACACAGGACTTAAAATTTTACTTTTCAAGTTCTCACTTCCCAGATATAGGTGTGTGTGTGTATACATACATACACACACACACACCTTTATCTATAGAAAGAGCAGGCCTGTGTCTTGGATAAGTCAGATTTTATTTCCAGGTTGTGCTCAAACTAAACAATAATGTGGGAAAACTAATGTTAGGTTTCCTTTCTAATAATAATAATAATAATAATAATAATAATAATAATAATTCGAAAATACATCACACAGTCCTAGACGCTTGGGAAGTGTTCGACTTGTGATTTTGTTATACAAAATCCAGCATATAGATCTCATTTGCTGTGACATACTGTATTTTTGTGTCAGAATAATAATAATAATAATGCTTTATTTATATTCTGCCCTTCTCCCCAGGGGATTCAGAGCAGATTACGGCATACAAATAGATGCAGGCAAACATTCAATGCATTCTTACAATGAGACCAAAAACACAGACAAAGGCAAAGTCATTTCCGACTCTGGAAATACTACTACTAATAATAATAATAATAATAATAATAATAATAATAATAATAATAACAATAATAATAATAATATACACTAACAAGTAATGTGGAAAAACTAATGTAAGGTTTTCATATAATAATAATAATAATAATAATAATAATAATAATAATAATAATAATAATGTCAACTTCCCTGTTGATATGATAAGGAGGTAACTCCTATCCTGGATCTTGGTCTAAAATACTGTGCACGATCTATCCACAAGCAAAGCGTAGTCCGAGTCCCCCACAGATTGACAGATTGGCAAGACTGAATTGCAAGAAGAGAAGACTGGGCTGCATTTTGACTGGCCAAGAACAACAGTGTTATTTGGTGGATTTTTTTAATTTTGCTGTATGGCCAACGCAGCTACCGAACGTGTTAATTCATGGCATGGGCAAACTTGGTCCTTCTTCCAGGTGTTTTGGACTTCAACTCCCACAATTCCTAAGAGCCGGCGGGCTGTTAGGAATTGTGGGAGTTGAAGTCCAAAACACCTGGAGGGCCCAAGTTTGCTCATGCCTGGGTTAACTGGACCGAAAGTCCCACTGATTTCAGCAGCCGCATCGGGCGCAATGCCATTGATTCCTACTTTCCTCCATGGGATGCATGGAAATTGCTGACATGCAATCATGACATACAAACCAAGTAACCATTTGACTTTCCCTGGAAAGTAAATTCTTCTAAATCAACCGAGGGTCGCGCCGTGAGGTGGGTTGTAGGGAACCTGACTTTGTCCCTGCGCTCCTTCCAGTCGCCTCCAACTTCGGGCAAAGTTCTCATAGAGTTTTCTGGGCAAACGCCCTTCTGAATCTCGCCTTGAAGCCCCGGGATTGCTTTGGCCGCAGGATCCGGTGCGTTTCGGACATTGAGGGCGACGGGGCGCCCTTTGCGGGAAAGGAGATCCCAGTCAAATGAAATTATAAGTTTGGTTTAAGAAGATTGTATTAGTAAGTGTGAGAAAAGCGATGAGAGAGAGACAAAACCCCTAAAATCAACAAGGAAGCATAAATTGGGTAGGGTTTCTGGAAGGATTGGCTTTGTTTTGGCCTTTGCTTTTAGCAGTTTTTCCCAAAGCGGCGCCGCCTGGAAATTGTGGGTGACAATTCCCATTAGTTTTAGCCGGAAAGGAGAGCTGAAAGTCAGTCCAAAACACCCGGAGGGCATCAGGAGGTAAAAGCTTGCCGAGGTGGAGGCTCTTTCTTTGGAGGCTTTTAAGCAGAGGCTGGAAGGCCATCTGTCGGGGTGCTTTGAATGCTATTTTCTTGCTTCTTGGCAGGGGCTTGGACTAGATGGCCCATGAGATCTCTTCCAACTCTATGATTCTATAGAAATACTAGCCATCTCCTGCCACGCATTGCTGTGTATATGTGATTTGTGTGTGTATATATGTATATATGTGGTTTTGCACATGCGTTGTAATGTGTTTTTTTTACTCTTCCGCTGTGT